ACAACTACATCTCAACCTAAGCCGCCAATTGCTTACAACCCTACTCCATTCACTCAAACAACCCCGTCACCGCCGAGACCAGAACCTATCAGGCCTACACAATACAGACCTTTAGTGTCACCTCAGTCATTTGTACCACAAAGAAACGAGGCATCGTCCAGGCCTCAACCAGTTCGGCTTCAACCTTTATCAAGCCGACCCCAGCGTCCAGTATTCCGACCCGAGCCAAAACCATTTATTGTTGAGGAAGAAGTACCAATTCAACCCGTTAGACAATACACTCGTCCGCAAGAACCTATCAGTCGAGCCCCTGTTAAGAGTGTTACTCAACAAAAATACACACCATCAAACTCCAGGGAAAAGAAACCAGTGGCTCAAACTATTAGAAAGTATAGAGAAGAAAATGAAGATGGAAGTATCACATGGGGCTTTGAGAATGACGACGGATCATTCAAGGATGAGACTATTGGTGTTGACTGCATAACTCGAGGCAAATACGGCTATGTCGACCCCGACGGTTTGAAACGCGAATACCATTACGAAACAGGTATCCCTTGTGATAAAGCCAATGAAGACAAGGAACAGAAAGGTTTTATTGATTATCAGGAAAACAAAGCTGTATTGCCCAACGGCATCACTATTGATCTCGCAGCAATGGGCAAAAAATCTAAGAGGCCATTCAGATCACCGAGTGTTCACTAGTTTTTAAGTATGTAATTTATTTTAGGAAAAACTATCAATAAGTAACTTTTTCGTTTTTTAATTAAAAAAGTCAATACAACCATATTATGTTAAAACAACTTATGGTTGTTTTGACTGGTTCGTGACTTTTTGTCACATACACGAAAACAAAACGAAAATATAAATATTACAAATAAAACAAAACATTATTATTTGTTACTTCTTTTATTAAAGTTCCTGGGCATTCTCCAGGGTTCCTAATAATAACGCCCATAAATCACTTTTTAATTTTCAATACTTTTTGTCACAATATACCTTATTGTGGCTTATGTGTAGGAAATAGGCCTATGGTACCGCGTACTTTTTTTTTAGATGCAGGAAAGATCCATATTTTTGTAGAAAGAACATAGTGTTTTCCTTTTACGTATCACTGACCTTTTTTATAGGATAGGGTGACAAACGAGCACACAGTCGACCTGATGGTAAGTGGTTGCTGTGGCCCATAGACATCTTACAACTATCCTCATATGTGATTCAAAATGCAGATGCGTTGTCACCCGTGAGGACTAAAATGGAATGCCTCGTGTCCAGCAAAAAGGGTCTCCCCGTTCTCTACACTCACCATACGAAACACAGCAGCATTAAGCTACTATTTGACGCTGGTATTCTGTGAGAGCGTGGTCATTCCCCGGTCGAGCTGACCCGTTCGTGCTACAACTATACTACTAATATAACTGCAGCATGGCTCTGCCACGTAGAAAATTTTACCATTACACCAGCGCACGCGTATAAAGCGGTTCGGTAGTGCTTTTTCCTCCGACTTGCTTAACAAAAATCACTATTTAAGGTAGCTGAGTGGTGTAGCCTAGTGAGACAGCCTTTACTATTTTTGTCAATCTGGCTATCACATACAAAAATAATTTATCAAATCGGACTCGTAATACCAGAGACTAGCGTCTTTAAAGAAACAAAAAGCCTCTTCCACTTTATTACATTATAGTACATTAGGGTAGTATGGTCATCCGGCTAATATGGTCACTTTCTTATAATTCAAAAACTACAGCCTTGTTTGCATAGATGGCTTTGTGATACTGAGCTCTTCATAAGTCATTCAAATAATAAAGGGTCAAAAGGGCGCTGCTTTATCGATACCATTTTGACAGTTGAATTATAGTAAAATAGTTTGTCGATTTTAGTATGGGGTAGTGTAAATAGTTTTGAAGTAGATTTTTCGAAGTGTTCCCAATAATTCCCAAAGTATGTTTGCGTTTTTTTCTTACTATATTAGTTATAATATACGACTTTGAATTTTTGTCGCTGTCCTTCTTCTATTTTGAGTTTTATAGGGCGGCAAAGCTTAAGGTGACCATATTACCCTCGCATACCTTAGTATAGACTCTATTTATATATTTGTCTTTTTAGTGTCACTTTTTGTTCATCGAGTTTTATAACACAACGATGGTAAAGAAATATTCACTACAATACACTTTTTTCATGGGTGACATCTATCTAGTAAAACTTGGACTAAGTAAAATTTTGTATTTAGAAAGATTACAAAATTTAACGTTAGAGCTATTTCCGAGAAACCAATTACAAATTAATTTATATCTATTCATACTTACAGTAAAACTCTATGCGGGTTATTATAGGCCTTATTACAAAACGTGGTTTATTGATAGTCTCTAGCAGAAATGTCCAATCTGCATCCACAAATACGAAACATCTGCATGAGCTTAGACATCTGAATCCGCATCCGCAATGCGGATGCAGATGTAGAGCACATCGCGACGCGATCAAAAAATGGAAATGCACTCACTGGTGACAAGGTCCAACAAGCTTGTTTGTTTTATTTGATTGAGGTAATTCAGGGCGTTTGTCACAGCGTTCTTTTCCTGTATTTGACTAAGTTTATTGTGTCTTCCATGAATATTTTGTCGGTTAATTTTAAAAAAGTGAAAAAATGACACCACAAGTACTAAGGAATATCTGGACTTATTAAATTAGACGGAAGTGATCGGGATAAGTCAGAGTGCAAAATTCGTTAAAAAAAAGTTGCTCACGAAAGCGAAAGGTAACCACAACTACTTTGAAAAATCATCTCAAGTCGATACACTCAGAATAGTTTAGTTTCTTCTAAAGCTCAAGTAACGAAAACAGCTGAAGAAGAAAAAGGATGATGCAGGATTGGATGTAAACTAATTCTCGGCTATGGCTATATGGCGACTTTTTGAAATAGGATCTTAATCAATTGACAACAATAATTTAACTAAAAATGGTTATTTCCTGAAAAATACTTAAAATCTGCATCCACATTCGCGGATGTGAGCCTTTAAAAATACGCATCCGTATCAGCAGAATTTTTGACATCCACGATGTCAAAAATTCTGCTTGCGCAACAACCCTAACCTCTAATTAAAACTAAGTCTTTCATGAAAAAAGAAGTCTTTTTTCATGAAAGAAGTCCGAAATTTGAAATTCGCTGTCAAATTCCATACTTTACACTTTAGTTCGCGCATTTTCTTAAGGGACTTCTTTATGGAAACAGATTCTAGTTTAAACCTGAGACTAAATAACTATAAATATCTATTTTTTCTGTACATTGATATTTTTAAATTTCAATTGGAATATACTACACCATCGATAAGATGATAAAATAACAAATTTTGTTAAAGTTGTCTGTTTGTCTGGACTCTGAACACGCGACGAAAACGCGTCACACAAAAACCTGAGAATTTGAATAAGGCTTTCACCAGTGATGGCGAAAGCCTAAAGAAAAGCGTTAAGGGAGGTAATATACATTATCACTGGCTTTCAATAAACGTATAAAGTTAGTTGGATGTTGTTTTTAGAGTTAAACCATTAGAATGAATTTAAAACATCACTATTTTAGGAGCTGGCCAGCAGGCCTAATTATCCTAATTAACCTCTAGACAAATTTAGATGGAGCTTTCAACATGTTTCCTTTCGATGTCTCCCTTCACCACCGAGCACATGGTAGATCAATACTTAAATATATTACTAACAATTCCGTTGGCGCCTCATCGTCGGCGACATGAAATCTGTTTTAGTGGTGACCCGCAATAAGATCGATAATGATGGTTTTACTCTCATAAGACCTGTCTGAGAGTTGATTGAGACCTGTTTGTACCCGGCGTGGGACTGACCAAACAACCGCTAGTAAAAATCTGTGAGCCCATCACAAATCTTTACGTCTCCCGTTTGGATAAAAGTACTTCAAGAGAAAGAGAAGGCGTCCTGCGCTTCGTCGTAGAACTCTCTATTCATTTGCAGCGTCTGTAGTTCAATAATACAACGAATTGATAATCCTACGTACTCCAGGTTCCCGCAAAATATATCTAGTCATTTCTCTCTCCCCATTTCTGGTCGCCTGTAGTAGATCTATCGCTAACACAAGGACACACCATAGAAAAAAGTTCCCTCAATATTATAATGTGTTAAGTATGTCATATTTTTGGTTTTATATATATTTTAAGTTTAGATATATATCTCTATGGACCCGTATTTTTAACTTCTAAGTGCTTCATGCCTGTTATTTTGTTCGCTGTTGTTAATGACATGTAAAAAAGTGAAGTACCAGCCTACATACATCCCACGTCTGGGTAGCAGGAAACAATCATCTAACATCTACCCCAATGCGTGTTGGTGGATTCCACATGAGCACACAGTCCAACTAAAGGTAAGTGGATACTGTTGCCCATAGACATCTACATCAAACCTCGGTGAAGAATCAAAATTCAAATACACCGTCACTCCTGAGGACTGAGATGGAATGCCTCATTTCTAGTAAAAAGGGTCTCCAGGCCTCTACATGCGGACACAACAGCAATAAGTTGCTATTTTACGCTAGTCATCTGTGAGATTGTGCTTGTCTGAGGGATCCCACGATCTCACAGATGACCAGTGGAGCCAACCTATTCGTGCTACAACTGTAATATAGCTGCCCATATGAAAAATTCGAAACATGTACGCAGTTAAATCCTCAATTTAGTATAACAGTATATGCGTTGCAATTGGATAGCAAGTTTTAGAGTTTTGGCGAGAACTTGGCCGTCGACGGATTGTCGCTCCTGTTTTGTCGCTTGAATAATGGTTTGAAGTAGGTTTTGATTCGTAAAAGTGATGCGATTTTGTGAGTTAAGTGTCTGCGCGTGTGAACTAATAGAGAAAATGACGAAACAAGTGCTTTGATGTTGTTATAAACCTCAAGTTAATATGATCGTTTGGGCGCCTTATGGACTTGAGTTGCTGTCGTCATTAACTGTCCGCTGGGTTGAGCTGTCGTCAGAATTGCCCAAAAACTACGCAATGTTACGCATCAGCATACTGTGAAGAAAAAAATATATAAAAGTAAAGATTCTGAAAGTAATAATAGGCTCAGAAGGGCTAGAACCCAGAGCCGTAAATCCAGTTAGTAATTAAAAAATGGATAGCAACCTGTTATCTACTGCTATCATTATGATGACTTGATACCAAGATCCATTGATTTATATATTACACTAGATCAGTAATAACCGCGCCAAAGCGTTGCCACTGCACATATGGCCACAGCCATATGCCCAGCTAACGTCAGTTCAGTGTTCAATGTGACGCCGAGAGAGTTGAGCCGCGACAAAAAATGGGTAAAAGGGTTACAAAAACGTAATAAATCAAGCGGAATCACTTTCAACACATAATTTTTAGTTCTTTTTTTACATATAAACGTAAAAAAAACTCAAATAATTAAATAAAATTATCGAAGTAGGTTCAATGTTGCCACCTTTCCGCATTTGTGATTATCCTACATTAATGGGAGACTATATAATTAATGGAGTAAATTAATTTGTTACCTGTGATTTTAAATATTTTGGAAATTATAATAAAATTTTCATACAAAAAAAAGTTTTAACTTTCATACAAAATTATTAATTATTCTTATTTTAGTTTATTCATGAATTATCTATTAAATATATTTTATTGCCTACTTATTTTATATTAATAATTTTATATTAAAATTATAATTTCATACAAATTTTATATTAATTATATTTTATTACCTATTTTATATTGTTTGATTTATTAGTACAATAAAAATACTTATAAAAATATGTTAATGATGTTAATGATAAGCTTTGTATCCTTTTTTTCTAAGGGGACGCAATAAAGATTTTAAAATAAAATATACTTTTTTAATATAGAAACAATTAACTGCAGCTTAAAAAACTCATTTTTATTGCGTATTTTAGGTAAAATTTCATATAGTAAGCCACACCAACTCGCCATTGCATGGTTGTGTATCTATCTTTATCTAATCTTAGCGACGATATTGTTTTCGTAACTTGTGTAAGTGAGATAGATATATGTTTATTTAAAATAGTTATTAGTTTCAAAGCTACATCGTCGCGTTTGGATAGTGGTTACACTTTTTTCGACGCGCGGTAATTCGGTTTGCTCCTCTAGTGTTGTATAACTCAATGCCAAGATCCATATTATGACGCGGTCTTATAATATTTCTATCATTACATGATAGAAGAATTATAAGACCGCGTATTTCTGTCAATATTTCTGAAACTCAAAAGGGTGAAAGTATTAAACTTTAATAAAATAACCGACTTCAAAAAAAATATTTTCCACCTTCCAGTTTTAAGAAGTCAGGGCTTTAAAAAAATGGTCAAGTGCAATTTATACTTATCCCTATGTACATATACTATATGAGTGTTCCATGTCTGTGCTGTAAACCTACACAATTTAAATTGTTCATGAAATTTATCTTGTTAGTAGTATTTTTCCAATCTTGACAACTGTTGACTTTTTCTACACTTTCTACATGTGCATACCATTTCTTTTCTTTTTCTATTAACAACCACAAAAGGGTTTTATTTCTTTAATTATTTTATATTAGTAATATAGTTGTAGCACTAATGAGTCGGTTCGACCGGGGAAGGACCACTCTCTCACAGAATAACAGCATAAAATAGCAGCTTAATGCTGCTGTGTTTCATATGGTGAGTGCAGAGAAGCAGAGACCCTTTTTACTGGAAATGAGGCATTCCATCTCAGTCCCAAGGGTTAACAACTCATCTGCATTTTGATTCATAATCGAGGAAGATGCAGATCTATGGGCTACATCAATCACTTACCATCAGGTGGACTGTGTGCATGTTCGTCACCCTTATACTATAAAAAAATCAGTATGTAAAGATAACTAGCCTTTAGAAAACTCAATCAATTGTGAATGTTTATTAAATAGTTTTAACAATATGCGAAATTTTTTCATGAATAAACAAAACTAGTTTGATCTTTATAAATTTATTTTCAGTTTGCTAAACAACAAAGTCAACATTAAAGTGAAAACTGAGTAATTTATTAAGAAATATTTAATTTTGATATACTTTATGGATATCTAGTAGTTTCATTCTCAAATGTAAATTTGATAAATAGAATACCGCTTTTCTAATTGTATAAACTATATTATCTACACATTTACTTTGACATCTGATTCTGTTTCAGTATTGGTAAAAAATACTCCAATTTTTTATTTTTTGTTGAATATTTTAAGGAACTAACATAGCATAAGTCCAAAATTGCCTGTTTATTTATACATTTATTTTAACCATGTATGCTAACAGATAATTTCTTAAATTAGCTTTAAACATTTATAACAATTTTAAAGGAAAATATTAGAACTCACTAAAAAATAATATTTTTTCCATTCATAGCCTAATATTATTTGAACTTGTTTTAATACTAAAATTGTAAACTATTTCACTTTCATTTCACTATTATCATTGTTAGAAGTCTACAGCTAAACATAGGTTTTCTCTAATGAATGCCAAAGTGCATAATTCACTACCACATGAGAATTTTTTCTTCTTTGTTCTTATAGTATAAAACATTTAACTGTATCTTATGAATAAATCAAACATGTACTTTTTTAATTTCATGTTAATTTGCTTGGTAACCTATTTTTAATCTTAATATATATAAATTACATGTCATGTTTGTCCGCGATGGACTCCTAAACTACTTAACTAATTTTAATCAAATTTGCGCACCATGTGCAGTTTGGTCCAACTTGAGAGATAGGATAGTTTTTTTGCCCATGAGTGACCCACAATTTTTTTGTGAATTTAAGGATTTTTATTAGGACATGACAAAGGGTCGTCAAAAAGGGCAGAACATCTGCCTGGCAAGCTAGTATATTCTTAAAATATACCTATATTTATTAAAAAATCAAATGAAACTTAATAACAATGCAATTATTTATTATCATTGGTTTATTGGTTATTATAATTATTAAATTCATGTTTTAATTTGATATCAAAGTCAGTCCTAAATTTTTATAATTCTAATTATGAAGCTGCAAAACTACATAAACATAAAGCTTGTGATAAGTAACATAAGTTACTCCATATTTTTGTTTCATAAGAAAATAAAACACTGACAAATCAACTTGCCTAAAAAAACTGTAACTGTATTAAAACCTAGTTACAGAAATCACTAGTTTTTAAAACCAGTTAGGTTATCACTATTTACGTTACATTCTGCTAAAATCACTTAACAACCCCTATGAAAGAGGGATAGAGAATCAAATAATATTTAAATGTATGTACGTAAACCTCTGTATTTAACTGATAAGATCTCATTTACAATTCATCATCATATCACATTATATTAGTTAATAATTGAATTAATAAGGACGATTATTCATATATGGTTGTGGTCTCCTCATGGGGGGTGGCATTCTATTGGATGGAGTAATAGAAATATCTAGATAGTTGCCAATCTGAAATTTAACTTGAGCTAAGGTTTTATTATCATCACCACCACGTTGGCCTGAACATGTCACACCAATCTCTCTCATGCGATAAGTTGGAGTTCTCATATCTGGATATACTATTGCGAAATCAAAATAAGTTCCTTTACGTCGTGTCTCAGGATTAACTTCTTTCACTAACCCAGTAAGTTCTCTTAGTGTGGCATCCATCCATGTATAAATTTGAAGTTCGTTTTGAGGTACATTGCCCCTAGCATAGTCACCAGGAGTATTATGCCTTCCAGTAGAACAGAACACACGAAGTAATAATGGGCAAGTCTGAAAAATATCAGAATTAAATGAATACCTACTAAATAGTTTTTTTAACTAAAATAAAAGATTTAAAGATGCTTTACATAATATAACATCAAATAGTCTATTAAACCCTGGTATTTTGGTAAAAAATTTCCCCAGTTTATGTTTCTAAGTTTTATTACTGTATTAAACCTAATACTTCAAACATATTTATTTCGTTTTAGTACACGCAATAGTACAGTTTAGTATATAGTTTGGGCAACTCATTTAATCCTCAGCATTTAAATAAGAAAGGTAATTTCTGTTTAGTCTGTTAGAATTTATAGTAAAGTACCTTTTCTCTATCAACTGGCTTAACCTCTTCTACGACCATTGATTCCAGTCCCGCCATTTGCATATTAAATCGTAATATTTTTTTTTCAGTAACAACAAAGCAAACTTGCAAAAAGCAAACTTATTTATAATTAATTGCAAATTAAAATTTTCGTAAATAATAATTCCTCGATTATAATGATTGATCATCAACCAAATAAATAATAGCTTGCTATACACATTTATAACATCTATTTATCTATGATTGTTTATGGGTACGTTTGGCAGAAAAAAGCGCTAGCAAGCGCTTTTAAGCAAAATGGCGATCGTAAGCAGTAAGCGTTGTCAAATCGTAAGTAGCTACGAACGTACGACACGAAGTTAATTTTAACCGGGGAACCTAACCTAATTTAAATATATGTTTGTAAAGTTTTCTCTGAAAACTAAAGTGTACAACCAGTGCGTGTTGCCAGTGATGACTTACGGATCAGAGACGTGGTCCTTCACTGCTGGCCATATGAGGACGCTCAAGGTCGCTCAGCGAGCTATGGAGAGGGCTATGCTCGGAGTTTTTCTGCGTGATAGACTCAGAAATGAGGATATCCGCAGTAAAACCAGAGTGACCGACATAGCCCAACGGATTAGTAAGCTGAAGTGGCAATGGGCCGGCCATATAGCTCGAAGAACCGATAACCGATGGGGCAGAAAGGTTCTCGAGTGGCAGCCTCGTACCGGTAGGCGTAGTGTAGGGCGACCCCCCACTAGATGGAGTGACGACCTGGTAAGATATGCAGGAAGTCGATGGATGCAGGTGGCTCAGGACCGTGCTTTGTGGCATTACTTGGGGGAGGCCTATGTTCAGCAGTGGACTTGTGAAGGGCTGTGATGATGATGATGATGATGATGAAAGTTTTCATGTTAAAAGCTTACCAATCATGATTTTTTAATAACATGTATATGTTTATTCAAGTCATTATATTACTTAAAACTAATATTAAACAAAACAACTCATAAAGTCAACTTCAAAACAAACAAATTAAATAAGCAAAATGGCGGAGTGTGTCAGCGCTACTGAAGTTAGCAAACGTGTCCTGGCCGAAAACTGTTTAGTTTCGCCATTTTGCTTACAAGCGCTTGCTAGCGCTTTTCTCTGCCAAACGCACCCAATGATAGTTCAATTCAATCCCAAGCAGGAAGATCGCTACGAACTGTCAAAGATGTTTAGCCAAGTGTAGTTTGCTAAATAATTAAGCTATAAGAATTTTGTTCCTATTTTAGGACTCTCTCTATGCTAGTAATTACTCTGAGAATTAGACGTAGAGTGATAGTGTCATTCAAAATTGAAGCAACAACACAATGAATGTGTGCATAATCGGCCTGTAATTACGTTTGTCCGCACGCAAACAAGAAAATGAGTAATGTATGCAAGTAAATGACGATTTCCCCCAAAAATGGGCAAAGTAGAAAGTAGAAATAGTCGCAAAATTAATATTTAGGTTGCGTTTAGAATTATTTATCATAAATTTACAAAGAGAGAAATATAAAATTACTTATATTTGTTAACGAATATTTTATTAAAATTTTTTATATACGTAATATCTTGTGCTATAATAATATTCAAAAATCTATTATGTCATTATATTATTCTGTTAGAAGAGATGTATTTATATATATTATGTATAAGTATATAGTATTATATATTTATATAAATATTACATATATATTATACTTTTTTTGAATTAGGCGTTTTTTATTAAAAGAAAATAAAAAAGGAGAAAAACTATTCAAATAAAACACGAAACTAAAAATATTAAATATATACCTAAATACTTAAAATAAACGTCTCTTACTTAATAACCCTGCATCTGCAACTGTTTTCTGCCGCTTTAATGACGCTATCTGCGAAATATTATCTTTTTGGATTCATATGAGAATCGAAATCTTACATAACGTTCTACAATAAGCCGCGCCAGATTTGTGTCGTGATGTTGCGAATTGATATACTCTTCTACAATAGGAAATAGAAAACGACCAATGAGTTTGGCCTCTTTCTCTGAATTGTTTTTCTATGCATTATGCTTATTATAATTTCGCAGATTATTTTCAGCAATACGACAAATGGAGTAAACTTCATTAGGAACGTAAATTAGTTAGTTTTCGTTAGTTTTATTTGAGATTAAGTCTAATTTTTTCAATTCATTGAGCAGCACTGACCACCTAACCTACGAGATGTGTAACGAAAGGAGACAAATTTCTGTACTTCATCTGCTCAACCAGAGCCTACATAGTTGAACACGAACTCTACCCTGTTTAGTGACCAGACAACAGACCTGTGCACTGCGTCCTTAGCGCTACAATTTTTTAAAATAAAAACAGTAAAACACGCCTACTTGCGCAGTAAAGTGGTGTGGTAGTGATAACAGTAAACATAATTTCAAGAAGGATAAAGTCACGTTTCTCCGGTAAATGCAACATTTAATAATCTTAAAATACTAAAACCGTGAGGGTTCAACGTGTTCTGGTCTTGTTATGAGGCTGTCCTTGTTCGAGTACGAGTATCACAGTAGCGTCTCTGTCTATTAATCAGAGTGGCTGCAGGCGGCACGTGTAGTAGAAATGCCCAAAAAAGTATCGATGAAAGTTTATCGACTATTTATTGTGTTATTATTTTGTGTCAACAGTCATTCTATTATATTTATGTATATTAATCTATATGTATTTATAATTTCAAATCGAAATTACAGTTTTACAAACCCTAATTAAATTAATAAAAATAAAGGTAATTTTCCTTTACATTTCTATATTACGTTAATTTTACCTAATGTAGATATTTTCACCTTACTGTCGCGGCCGAGGCCGAAGCAAAGTCATGGTTTTCGAGAGTATCTGTATTTCTTAGGCACATTCCGCTCTTAACGGATTTATGGTAAGAGATTAGCGTTTTAAATGACATGTAAAATACATGTATATATTTCAAACAACTTTACATGTATTAAACGGTGTATTTTTTTTTCATTTGTTTATAATTTTTCGTTACGTTTTCATAGTCTTCCATATTTACGCGTACGACGTATGGATGTGTCACTTCTCTAAATTACATATCACGCGCTGCCCGCACACCTTTCTTTCTTCTAACCTTGACAGACTAATTTAATTAGAACATCGTAATTTTCATGTCTCATAGGCTAGGTGGTCTGTGTTGAGCAGCAACATTTGGATCAGACGAAAATCCAAAAATGAATACATATAGGTTGGCAATAACAATCACACACAGATTATCCCCTAATAGATTCCACATACAAGGTCACAAACGCGCGCAACACATGCTTGCTGTAGCTAGCATACGAAGTAACGCTAAGAATCATGACATCAGTAACGACCAAGGTTGTGACCCGTAGGCACGTCCAACACGGATCTTGACAATTTAAATATAGTTTTGTATCCAAAATAAATTACAAATAGCTTCCTGTGCAGTGAAATGGTGTGGCAAGGCAGCTAAGACATCCAGTAATCAAAAGATAGCATAATGTTTCAGCGGTAAGTAAATTCTATTCCTATCACGTTAAACCTATTTCAAATGCACCGGAGTTCAACTTATACTGGTAATATAATGGTGCAAAGTGATACCAATTAAGCACCCGTTGAAGTCTTTTTAAAATGTTCCTTTCCCTTATTACGCAAATTACAATAGTTGTCTTTGTCTAACGACAGGATGTGTATCGACAGTGTTGTGACTTATAAGTCGATATTTGTTTGGTCATCGTTTACATGTTTGTTTGTATTTATTATTTTTTTAAATAGTACCTATCGTATCATTGTGGAACCTATATGTTACTGGTTTCCTAAATGTCCCGAAAGGAAAAAAATGTGGATCAACGTAACTTGTCGAGGGGACGAATGGTTACCCACCAAAAATAGCGTGCTATGCTCAAGAAACTTCACAAAAGACAATCTTCATATTATGAAAAACCGTAGAAGGCTGTTCAACTCCGCTACACTTATCTCTATACTTGTCAATTTTAGTATGAACTTGTACTATGTACACTTTGTTAAAGTAAAGTACCAATGTTTAATAATTAATAATGATTACACAGTAAGTAATAGCTATAAGTGGTTGATTGAAACATGATATTTTAATATTTACGCGAATGATACAGATTGAAATTAAACTATTTTTAACCGATTTATATATCATAGCTAAGCTTTCCTAGATATTTTAGTCATTTGAAATCTTGGTAACACTGTATATATGAAAAAAATTCATACCAAGCGATATTTAAATGGTGAATTTCACCATCATCCTTCATAATTAGCTACCGTGGGTAAATCTTTGTTTCAGAGAGTACAAGGGATCTGTGACAGAAAACATCTGGCCACCGATCTTCAAATATTCTTCAAGCTAATATTACAAGACTACAGAAACAGAAACAGAAACAGAAACTTTTTATTCAATGTAGATTATAAACAATACTTATTGAAAGTCAATTTTTTCATTTACCACTGGGTCGCAAAAAAAACCTCTGTCCTAGGAAGAACCAGCAAGAAACTCAGCGGTACTATTTTTTTTTTCAAATAATAGCTTACAATCGTGTTTACAATTAATAACACAAGACAAATTAGAAATAGCTTGGTAGCGATCACCCTTCCCAGGGGTTACTATCATCCATAAATTCCTTAATATTATAATAACCCTTTTTATACAAATTTAGTTTAATAAAATTTTTGAACTTTGCGTATGACAAATTTTGTATATTTTCTGGGTTTTTTTTTGTAAAAGCGTATACATCGCCCCAAGAATGAATTACTGACTCGGTGGAGTCGAGTAACTGGTACTACCAGCTTGTGTCTGCTTCTAGTATTTACAGAATGAATATCACTTATTTTCGCAAAACTACTTTTATTTTTGTGTACGTACATTACATTTTCATAAATGTATTGAGAGGCCAGAGTTAATATATTAATTTCCTTAAATTTTTGTCTCAGTGACTCTTTTGGTTTTAAATTATATATTGCTCTAATGGCTCTCTTCTGTAAAATAAAAATAATTTCAGTGTCAGTCGCGTGTCCCCATAGCAAAATACCATA